CACTCCTGAAGGCGAGGTAAAGATTTATGACAGTCATGTTACATAAGCATTTTGAGTGTGGATTGACTCGCTCACTTAAAAGCCGGGAGCGTGTACTTTACCTAAAACCGCTTTGGGACAGATTTATTGTGGGGCCGATCTGTTGTAGCATAGAAAAGTATTACAAAGTAATGGGACTGAAATCTACCGGAGAGGGGCAAAATTTGAACTTATACGAAGCGCTGAAATTAAGAGCTAGCTTGGACAGCAAAAAACTACAGAAATATTAGGGAGTGGTCATTATTTATGGGGGGGGGGGTTGGGAAATGGGGAAAATAAGGATTGAAAACTTTTTTGACCCCCCCCCCCGCTCCAGACTGAAGGTAAACTTTTTGTGCCTCCCCCCTCATAAAAGTAGAAACTTTTCTGACCCCCCCCGTGTCGATTGAAAAATTAACAGCAACGAAACAGGTGTGCGTTGCAGGTAAAGTTAGATATTAGGACATCTGTTTAATCTAGCTCATGATGTTTTACCCTGGTGAATATGATTCAACCATATATGATTAAAAAATATATATTATGTGTTACTACTTTGCAATGCAACATTTGTCCTACCATAACCCTAACCCATGACCCGTCTTCATACAGCGAAATGATTTGAACACAGGGTTTTTTAAGAACTTGTCTGGGGGTGGGCATCTACAAAAAGGGACCATACTATATTGAGTGTGGAGAGATGACAGATGGTTGTTGGTGACAAAAAGTTTGGTGTGGTATCGTATGTACTAGTAGGGGGGTCTGGGGGTATTCTCCCCCAGAAAATTTTTTTTATTTTTCCACCCCTAGAATTGAAATGTGAGCATTTTCCTCTGAGCATTTTCTGAAACAGATTTTTGGATATGCAGCGTTACATTGTGCGTTGATAGACCGAATCTGATCAGTTAAGTGTACTTGCATGGTATGTTTATGTAAATACCACAACTGGGTCACTCAGGGGGTAGAAAGCTTGTTAAACTTAGTGGGCCCAACTCCCACGATCGCGAGGCGCTACCATGGTTGGCGCCGAGCAGGGAAATTTTGAAAATTTTGAGTCTCTAGATCGTTGGAAATAGCATTTTCAGAGTCTTCTTTTTTGCTATTTGTGATTATAGAAATCAAAAACTTTTATGACCCCCCCCTTTCTCTGTGTTAAAACTTTTTTGACCCCCCCTATTTATAAGGGTAAAACTTCGTTTGCCCCAACCCCCCCCCCCCCCCCCCCATAAATAATGACCACTCCCTTAAGCATAATTGAACGATGGAGAAAGGCCAAACTCAAACAATTCAGCCATTTTTACTGTAATATCTATATTTTTGTAATATCTGTATATACATATTATATTATATTAATCTATTTTTAGTCAAATGCTTCGATGCAAAATGCGACGTTTGAAACATGCCTAAGTCCAGGGTTTTTTCAGGGATATTTTTGGACCGTAAAACTGCACCAAAAACTAAATTTTGAATTGAGTTTTGAAACTCAATCTTCTCACCAAAAGATGCAGCGCAGTACAGATGAAATTGTTTGAGTAAAATTCGTAGCACGTGGAATTCATTTCACAACAGCAGAAAAGAAACGCATTCGCCATCTTTAACCAGTTTATAGTGTCTCTTAGTGCCCCTGCTTTAATACATTGCGTCTCAATACACTTATAGGGGGCAGCTGCCCCAAACTCCCAGCTGTTGAGCTAAACTCAATCTTCTTTGTAAGCAGGGTCTTAGCTAGGATTTTAGATCTTGGGCGTGTATCTAATGACCAGGGCGTGCACATGTTAATCACCTTGAATAGCAAAATCACGGTTCTAGTTATGCTTGCCAAAAACGCTTGTTGTGGTTCTATGCTTTGCAACCGAATACATGGCGAGCATACGCTCATATTGCGCACTTAAACATTAAAATATGAAGTTGTTTCAGCAACTCTTGGGGGTATTTAAAACCATTTTAACACCATACAGTTCCCATTATCTATCAAAATATTAAAACATCACGGATCACTTTTGCCAATTTCAA